TTCTCTGCAGTGGCCACAGTGTGGTGTTTCCAAGAGTGGAACAGTAATGGTGTCACTCCCCTTTTAAAAAAACAACTTCCACATCACCACGTTATCGACTGCATAAAATAGAAAAGATCACATTCTCTGCTATGCTATGTAAGGGCCCCTCCTGCATACACTGCTCACCACTGCCCTTCCCTCATACATTACGCCTCAGAAATACAGAACTACATACATTTCCCCAAGTGCACCACGTTAGTTACTCATGCCCCCGCACTTTATCTCTCTGCCCCCACTCTGTCCAACTGAGAAACATCATTCAGCCCTTACTTAGGCCTTGGTAGTTCTCTGAAGTTCTTCCTCTCAGCCCACTGCTGGGCTGCACCACAAAAGGGCCTGAAAACACAGCTCCCTGAAATGCCTTCCATTATCCTACTGATCCTTCCAGTTTTATTCCTTATCTGCCCAGGTTATTAATTAGCTTCTGTTCTTTTTAATGCACAGCTTTGTTCTGACTCTTTGTCTCATCAGCATCTCACACAGCGTCCAGCACATACTACATATTTTGTGATTATGTGTGGATCTGAATATTAACCTGTTGCCAACACACCTTCTATATTCTGATATGAAGGTAGTAAGAAAGAATGATAAATGGTTTTCTAGACATTTCTTAAAAGGACAAAATTATTTGGAAGAGACATGAAAATACTTTATCTCCAAGGCAATACATTTATTTAGTTTTTGATCCTTTAAGTCATATGAGGGATATGATTCATATGACTCGGATTCACCTTATTCTAGGAATTTCTAATTTAATGTACTCAGAAAACACTATCTAAGAAAGAGGACAAAACCCCTGTAAATCCCAGTTGTGGGTTGATTTCAGAAAACACTAATGCGTAAGATGTCACCCGAATGCTGACTGATGGGGCCGTATCAGGCCGCATCTCCACTGGTTGTACTTAATAGGCATTTATATGGAGTTTGGCTCATGATTCTGTTTGAAGCAATCTTCTCTTTACGCCACACCAGGTGTACGGTTCATAATTTTTCGACCTGTGTGATTTATGTGTCTGTTTTCCACAGCTTTTGTTTTGATATCAGAAACCATTAATCCTTCAAAATCCTGCAGTCGTAATGTTAACTGCCAACAGCATTGATTTGCAATTGGCATGAGAGTTTACTTCAACCATTTTATAAAAATTCTGATCTGGTTTTGAGTGATGACTTTTTTACCACTGAAATCATCAAACAGAATTTTCTCTAATTCTTCAGTAAAGACTTGTCCATTCTAATCTGTACTAGGCCTGTGAGTTTATTTCCTTGCTTTTATACAAGCTATTTTGTTAAAGATAATATTTAACAACTTAGTTTCCCTTCTGCTAAAATGCAGTTAATAAACTAATTATTATTTCCATAGACTATTGTCTTTTCCAAAATTATGTGGATATTCATATATAATATATGTTATAAATTATATTATATATGTGTATGTTTTGCAGGAGAGAGACAGCTATGTCTTTTTTTCACAATCAGCAATAGAGTTTACCTTTAATTCCCTTACAAGTTTTATAAAGACAAAATATTAAAGGCTAATTTCAGGGTCTTTATAAACTATGTAATATCACCTGTGGGTTCTTGAAATGACTACTGATGTCATAGAAGCATTTTTAATAAGTACAGTAATTCAAGGCTTCTATGTATACTTCGTTGTGTGCATAATAAGAAGGGTATAATTTTTCAGCCTTAACAGAATCTATGATGATGATGTTGACACCATTAAATCTCAAATGAAATATCTCTTAAAAATTATGGAGAGATGTCTTTGTTTGGATCGTGTGTATGTATGTAGGGGCAAAATGCCAGGAAGCTGAAGTTATTCAGAAGGACATTATCAGGAATGTGCGATGACTCCAAGTATATGTGAGCTTATCTACTAAGACACCTGCATATCTCTCTAATGAAAGGGTTTGAAAGAGGGTATGGAGTCGCTGGGGAAGAAATGATGTAACATTTAGCTCACACGCGGGTAATTCATTTGTCTTTATGGGACATCATGGGAAAAAGGCCAAAAGTTATTTGTGGTCTGCTTCCTCCATTCCCTCCAGGTTTTCTCTAATTTTGAAAATATTCCAGGATTCTGGATTTCCTTGAAAAAATGTGGCATTTTCAGCTGATCTTTAAAAGATTCCTTTCTAGAAGAAGGAAAAACCTAAGCAGTAATTACCTTGAGCCCTTGATGTTTTTCAGGGAATGATGTACCTAGAAGAGAGGCGGCTTGTCCATCGGGACTTGGCGGCCCGTAACGTCTTAGTGAAATCTCCAAACCATGTGAAAATCACAGACTTCGGACTCGCTAGACTCTTGGAAGGAGATGAAAAAGAGTACAATGCCGACGGAGGAAAGGTAGGTAGCTTTTTGAGAACAGTATTGCCTGAAAATAAAGCACATCTGATATCTTTTTATCACCTCATATTTTATAGGAAGAAACTAGTAAACAAAAATCATAAAATCCCAAGTTTATAATCTAACATTTGCCTTTTTTCCTGCCCAGGGCAAAAAAAAAAAAATTTATATACACACACACACACAGAGACATATATTTTGTGTGTGTATTTGATATATATATGTATGTATATGTATGTATAGTGTATAGACGTATATTTTGTGTCTGTATTTGATATATATGTATGTATATGTATGTATGTATAGTGTATAGACGTATATTTTGTGTGTTTGATATATACATGTATGTATGTATGGTGTGTATACATATACATGTATAGCCATAGATATATGTGTGTATATATTATATGCATGGTATATGTTATCACCAAGAAAAAACAAATGGAAGTAGCTAAAGTAAACAGATTCATGTCTGGACCCAAGGAGTTTTCATATTAGGTTTAAGATGGGAAATGAGAGGATCCCTTGAGATTCTAGAAATTAAGCTTTAATACAAGGCCATAGAAATTGTCCCATTGATCTTAAGACCACAGGACTGACTGTTACGGAGAGACAGAACTCCTCTCTTGTAAACTGGAAAAGCTTCACCACACTAAGAACCCCTTTATCAGAACAGTCACCACATCGTCCCCCTTTTCTGGCTCTCCAGTTTTAGCCCCGTCCTCACAACTGGTTTCTGCCTCTCTCAGACACCATAGAGTCTCAGGCCAGGCCTTAGTTCCAGCCCTTGTGTTTCCTCGTTAACCCACTATTTAGCTCGCCTGTCTTGGCTGACCAATTAGTATAATCTTCAAATGGAAGTCCCCCTAGCTTGAACTAGGGAAACTAGGGAAACCTAGGAAAAAGGCAAGATGAAATTAGTAAGTGCAATCTTTTTTTTTTTTTTTTTTTTTGGAAAGAATCTTTCTGTGTCACTGTGTCACCTAAGCTGAAGTGCTGTGGCATACTCAATCATAGGTAGGTTTAACCTGGGACTCCAGGGCTCCAACAATTCTGCCATATCAGCCTCCTGAGTAGCTAGAACCACAAGCACACACCACCATACCCGCCCAGCTATTTTATTTAAATATTTTTGTAAAGATAGGGGTCTTACTATGTTACCTGTCCCAAACCCCTGGCCTCAAGCCATCATTCTGCCTCAGCCTCCAAAATTGCTGGGATTCCATGTGTGACTCACATGGCACCTAGCCAGCAAACACAGTCTTAACCTATGGTGACTTATAAGCTTATCTAACAAAAAGAATAATGTACACGTCCTATGTTTACGTTGTGCCATATTAACAGGGGTTGTCCAAATGCATATTGTAAATATTTTATAATGATAGGCTTCCAGATGCTTAACATTCATTTTTATCTTAAACTGTTTTATAGCTGTCTGTATTCAACCTTATCACAAAGCTAAATACTACAAAATTTTTAAAAATACCTTCAGTTTTGAGAAATTATCTGGCTTTTCCTTGATTTTATTAGCCTATTTTGCCAGTTTACTGCCAAATTGCAGTAGTTTAAGACCACAGCTTTGAAATTCCCTGTAAGACTGCACAGAAGTTGAAGTCTATAAATCACATGACTTCACTTGTCTTGAGAGCATAAGACTTGAGACATAAGATTTGTCTAAAACAAGATTCATTATGGCTTTAAATGCCTGGTAACCATTAAGTCTTTATCAAGCCACCCGTGATTTAAACTTACTTCTTTAACACAACGTCCGTAGTCCATAAAGTCTGCTAACTCCTTGCCCACAGGGAAATTACTTTCAATGTGTCTTCTGTTCCCTTTCGCTGAATACCATGATTCTGTCATGGAGTTACCTTGGTGTCACCTTGGTGAGCAGCCAACCTCATGATTTCAAAGGCCTATTTGGTTTTAAGCTTTCAACTGCGAAGTAGAAGTGTTTATCTTTATTCCGTAGAATCTAATTATATTCCCAGCTATATAATGCTGCCCTTCATACTTGAAATTCACTCTGCTGACCCATCAGCAGCAGGGTATGGGGGTTGAGTTGTTTTTCTTATAATGATGATGGATTTGTGCTGATCCTCTCACATTCTTTTATACAGTTCCTATTTTGAAAATGGTACATATTTTCAATAGTGGCTAACCAA